ATATGAACGAGTTCGGTGGGGAGGGGGGGCGTCGAGGCAAGAAGCGTCCCCGACGGCGGGCATCGTCCGGCGGCGGGAAGGAGAGGAGGAAGCGCGCCGCCGCTCGTCCTCGTGCCGGGGCTATCGCAGAAGAAGGCGACGATGGGACCAGCACCGGTTGGGAGAACAACCGTGGTGGAGGGTCGGGGTGGGGAAGAAGAGGAGGTAGGCAGGTGGAGGCGATGGAGGAAGAAGAAGAAGGAGGAGGAGGAGGAGGAGGAGAGCGTCAAGTGGCCGGGCTTGACTACGACATGCCGGTGGTGGCCGCCGACTCGGCCGACGACAGCGGGGGTGACGGGGGCCGGAACTCGGCAGACTCGTCTGATTCTGGGTCCTCTCCGTATTCGTCGTCATCATCGACGGGCGGATCAGCTTCGCCGCCGTCGCCGTTGCGGCCGTCCCGCCCGCCCGCGCCAACTGGCGGCAGCCGCGGCGCTCAGACCGGCTCCACGGCTCAACGCTCTGGCAGGAGCGGCGGCGGCGGTGGTCGCCGCCGTGGGGCTTCTTCTTCTTCTTCTGTCACCCCCCGGCATCACCGCCGACGGGGCGGCGAGAAGCGCGGCGGCGGCGGCGGCGGCGGCGGCGGGGGTGGACGTGGAGATGGAGACCGGCGAAAGAGCCGCGGCAGACGACAAGGCGCTGGTGACGGCGGACTGTCTGGGCCATCGTCGACGGGGGGAGCGTATGCACGGCAACCGAGGATGTTTCCGATAAACGGCCGGGCGTTGCAGAGGCAGCTGTACGACAGGACCCTGGCGCAGCAGCTAGCTCGAGGCGGGCCGCCGGTGATCGGGGCGGGCGGCGGCGTGGCCGCGATCACGGGAGGACGCTCGGGCAGTGCGGCCGCCGGCCAAGCGGAGGGCGAGCGGAGCGGGGTTAGGGAGCGGGAGGAGGGGAGGAGGGACTTCGCCGGGCGCGGCGGCGGCGGCGGTGGCGGCGGAGGAGGAGGCCGCGGCAGTCCGGGGCCCCGCCCGCTGCCCGTCCTGATGGACGGGGTGGTGGCGGCGGCCAACCCCCGGCGGGCAGCGCTCAGTTTTGATACCTTGTTTGCGGTGAGAGCGGCCGACCGCGCCCCGAGATGCAGACGGACAAGCTGTACACGGGGTCCGTGGTTTGTTGATGAGGTCGCTGTTCTGTCATGTGCTAGTTCTGGATGTTTTGGGTCACTTGAGGCCGTGATTGCTCGAGGAGCCCCGCTTGCTCCGACCGAATGGTTGCTAGGGGAACGTGCAGGATGTTTTTTTTGGGCAGCCGGCGTGTTGCTGCAGCAAGTAGCGACTTTGGAGTAGAGCCTGACGGCCGCGCCGACTTGCGTGCTCTTCGTTTTTTTCATGACGCGACATTCGGTAGACCGTTTCCCCCTCTCTCGCTCTTCCTCTTCCCCTCCCCCTTCCCCTTGCTTTCTCTTACTCCTGCCCCCCCCCCCCCCCCCCTTTTCTCCCCCCCCC